GTCAAAATGTGGTTTCCATATGTTTGATGTTTTTGATATGTTTAACATATTTAATTCCAGCCATTACAATGAGCCCGTCCTTCTATAGCTCCCCCCAACAGCCTCCACTGATATACATGTATATTTCGTTCATTTAGCAGACACTATTATCACACCATAGTGCCATCAGACTTCTGATACCAATGCAGGGTGAAAGGGGGTCACAAAATGGTGAACCGCTATAGAAAATGGTATAGCCAAGTATTTTGTATTTAGAAAATACAAATTACAGCTCTCAAAAGTATCTTGTTACAAAATACATTGGAGTTCAGCCCAGTGTAATATAAATGACAAAATACCTATTTCAAATACATGTAACAGAAATACTGCCCATCTCTGACTATGTGACCAGTACTCCTCATAACAGTATGCTTTTTTTGGGGGGGGGAGTGACCTGGGAGTGAGTTTGGTGAAAGATAGCGGAAACGGACAATGAAGTGGATTCTGAATCCAATGACGATACAATCAAGGAAAATTGGAGCATTGTTCAAAATAATAGAAAACGGTGCAAAGTAGTGTACAGTGATGAGAATGTCCCTTCATATCTAGTAGGAGTACGATTTGTTAATGAGGAGCAGCTGAGCAGATGACCATTATTGAAGAAACCATTTGAGATATCCAAACTGGGGGAGAGAGTATGGGTAAAGTGAAGGCTGTGAGGATCATGAGAGGAGGGCTTGTTTTTTGTGCTTCTGTGGATCAGAAGGAATGTGCGTTGCATCTCACCCGATTTGAAAAGTTTGAAGTGTCGTGTGTGTCTCTTCGGAACAGGGCACCCCTCAAGGGGGTTATATCTGGCGTCTCGTGGGAAGTCGATTTTGAAGAGATGATAAATATTCCTGGAGTGATTGATGCACGTTGGATGAATCATGTGGTGAATGGTGAAAAAGTGAAGAGTATCTGTTCTTTTGTTTTTGATATGGAGTCTATCCCTACTCAAGTGCAGTTGGGTTCTATAAACTACAGAGTCAGAGCATTTATCCAAAGACCAATGCAGTGTGATCATTGTAAAGCTTTTGGTCATGTTTCAAGAGTTTGCAGAAGGGAGAAGCCGAGATGTCCAAGTTGTGGAAAAGATCATATCATGTGTTATAAAAGTGGACCCTTTCTTTCTAAAATTAGCCACCGAAATTGTCGCAACCCCTATTACTAGCCTGGTCAACCTCTCTTTCGTATCATCTTAGATCCCCAGAGATTGGAAAGCTGCCGCGGTCATCCCCCTCTTCAAAGGTGGTGACACTCTAGATTCAAACTGTTACAGACCTATATCCATCCTTCCCTGCCTTTCGAAAGTATTTCAAAGCCAAGTTAACAAACAGATCACCGACCATTTCGAATCCCACCGTACCTTCTCCGCTATGCAATCTGGTTTCCGAGCTGGTCATCGGTGCACCTCAGCCACGCTCAAGGTCCTAAACGATATTATAACCGCGATCGATAAAAGACAGTACTGTGCAGCCGTCTTCATCGACCTGGCCAAGGCTTTCGACTCTGTCAATCACCGCATTCTTATTGGCAGACTAAATAGCCTTGGTTTCTCAAATGACTGCCTCGCCTGGTTCACCAACTACTTCTCAGATAGAGTTCAATGTGTCAAATCGGAGGGCCTGTTGTCTAGACCTCTGGCAGTCTCTATGGGGGTGCCACAAGGTTCAATTCTCGGGCCGACTCTATTCTCTGTGTATATCAATGATGTCGCTCTTGCTGCTGGTGACTCTCAGATCCACCTCTATACAGATGAAACCATTTTGTATACATCTGGCCCTTCATTGGACACTGTGTTAACAAACCTCCAAACGAGCTTCAATGTCATACAACACTCTTTCCGTAGCCTCCAACTGCTCTTAAACGCTAGTAAAACTAAATGCATGCTCTTCAATCGAACGCTGCTTGCACCCGCCCGCCCGACTAGAATGGTCGTGGTCCTCTGTAGCTCAGCTGGTAGAGCACGGCGCTTGTAACGCCAAGGTAGTGGGTTCGATCCCCGGGACCACCCATACACAAAAAATGTATGCACGCATGACTGTAAGTCGCTTTGGATAAAAGCGTCTGCTAAATGGCATATTTATTTATTAGAATCACTACTCTTGGCGGGTCTGACTTAGAATATGTGGACAACTACAAATACCTAGGTGTCTGGTTAGACCGTAAACTCTCCAATCCAAAGTTAAATCTAGAATCGGCTTCCTATTTTGCAAACAAAGCCTCCTTCACTCATGCTGCCAAACATGCCCTCGTAAAACTGACTATCCTACCGATCCTTGACTTCGGCGATGTCATTTACAAAATAGCCTCCAACACTCTACTCAGAAAATTGGATGTAGTCTATCACTGTGCCATCCGTTTTGTCACCAAAGCTCCATATACTACCCACCATTGTGACCTGTACGCTCTCGTTGGCTGGCCCTCACTACATATTTGTCTCCAAACCCACTGGCTCCAGGTCATCTATAAATCACTGCTAGGCAAATCCCCGCCTTTTCTTAGCTCATTGGTCACCATAGCAACACCCACCCGTAGTATGCGCTCCAGCAGGTATATCTCACTGGTCATCCCCAAAGCCAACACCTCCTTTGGCCGGCATTCCTTCCAGTTCTCTGCTACCAATGACTGGAACGAACTGCAAAAATCTCTGAAGCTGGAGACTCTTATCTCCCTCACTAACTTTAAGCATCAGTTGTCAGAGCAGCTTACTGATCACTGCACCTGTACACAGCCCATCTGTAATTAGCCCACCCAACTACCTCAGGAGAACTGGGTGAAAAGGTTGTGGTCAGATGAGACCAAAATCGAGCTCTTTGGCATCAACTCAACTCACCGTGTTTGGTGGAGGAGGAATGCTGCCTATGACCCCAAGAACACCATCCCCACCGTCAAACATGGAGGTGGAAACATTATGCTTTGGGGAACAGGACAACTTCACTGCATCAAAGGGACGATGGACGGGGCTATGTACCGTCAAATCTTGGGTGAGAACCTCCTTCCCTCAGCCAGGGCATTGAACATTGGTAGTGGATGGGTATTCCAGCATGACAATGACCCAAAACACACGGCCAAGGCAACAAAGGAGTGGCTCAAGAAGAAGCACATTAAGGTCCTGGAGTGGCCTAGCCAGTCTCCAGACCTTAATCCCATAGAAAATCTGTGGAGGGAGCTGAAGGTTCAAGTTGCCAAACGTCAGCCTCGAAACCTTAATGACTTGGAGAAGATCTGCAAAGAGGAGTGGAACAACATCCCTCCTGAGATGTGTGCCAAACCTTGTGGCCAACTACAAGAAACATCTGACCTCTGTGATTGCCAACAAGGGTTTTGCCACTAAGTACTAAGTAATGTTTTGCAGAGTGGTCAAATACTTATTTCCCTCATTAAAATTTAAATCAATTTATAACATTTTTTACATGCGTTTTTCTGGATTTTTGTTGTTGTTATTCTGTCTCTCACTGTTCAAATAAACCTACCATTAAAATTATAGACTGATCATGTCTTTGTCAGTGGGCAAACGTACAAAATCAGCAGGGGATCAAATTATTTTTTTCCTCATATATTTTCTATTGTGTTTTTGACTGTGCGTTTTGTTTATCCCATATGTAACTGTGTTGTTGTTGTTTTTATCGCACTGCTTTGCTTTATCTTGGCCAGTTCGCCAGGTCTCATTTTGTAAATGAGAACTTGTTCTCAACTGGCTTACCTGTTTAAATAAAGGTGAAATCAAAATAAATAAAAATCTTTTGATTTCCCGACAAGGGTGAAAGAGAATGAGGTGGCCAAAGTCAGAGCTGTCCAGAGCATTTCATATGCAGCAGCTGTCAAAAGGGTTGAGGGTTTGAATGTTGGTCCTGAAGAGTCCATGATGGTGGATAGGCCTTCACTGCACACTGCAGGGGTTGCCTTTCACCAGCAGGACCCTGGCACTTTAAAGGTTAAGAAGTTGGACTTTGTGGCCTTTATAGCTATGGTGATTAATGACACTGCCAAGGTGGAGAGAAGGTCCAGGAAGATAGATATCATCGTGGATGCGGTGGAGCGGTTCCTGGGACTGAAATATTTCTCAGTGGAAGAGTTACATGGAATATTGTCACAAGTCGTACCACCCTCTCAGGCCCTAGAGCCTGAGAAGGGAGATATTAAGATTTGAAAGAAGGAAGAAGTGGGAGTTTTATTTTGTTTTGTTTTTGTCAATGTACTATTTTTATTTAGGTGGATTAAGTTAGTTTCCCTATCACATATGGATTTTCTTTTTTACCTTGTTTTGGTTTTTCAACCCGTCCAGTTCGTGGCGGCAATACACCTTTTTGGGTTGTAGTCCGCCATAAAACCCACAGAAGAAGAAGAAGAAAATAAAATCCATTACTTTCTTTTGTGCAGACATTTTGCTTACTTTTCTCGTGTTGGCATAAGCAAAAATCGAACACATAGCAAGTTACAGTATTTTTTAGTTCATTTTTACTTCCTCTATAGCTCAGTCTTGGACGGTGTGATTAGGAAAAAGTAGCTACTTTGACCATCGATTGAAGATTAAAGTTTAGATTTTTGTACAGGCGTTAATAAGGCAACTATGTTGGGTCCTCACAGCGTCAACATTTACGTGAGCACAGCGAGGAAATAAAAGTGTGAGTATACATGCAATAAACATATTTCCCTTCCATGATAGTTCTGAATTTCTGTATGTGTTAGTCTGGAAGTGAATTCGAACACATCTAGCAAGTTTTCGGTTTGTTAACTAGTCAGGAAGCTAAGCATTGAAAGCAAATGGTTACATAAATAGACTTTTAGCTTGGTATTGCTAGACTTTTAGCTAACTAGCTAAGCTAACGGCTAGCTAAATCAACTTCTCCTGAAAGGAATAGGACTCATGTTGCAATGAAGGGCTCTGGCCTAATCTTATGTTACTGACTTCTAAACGGCTCTGGCCTAATTAACCAAATGTGACTGAAATCTGTTTTGTTTAGGTGTTCTGAGTGTATGTGAAGATGGGCCGTTCCTCCAAAGACAAACGGGATATCTACTACCGTCTTGCCAAGGAGGAGGGCTGGAGGGCCAGGAGCGCCTTCAAACTACTGCAGCTGGACGAGGAGTTTGGCCTGTTCAAAGGCAAGAAGGCCTCTTGGGTTAACTTTTCTGGCCATGGTTTTATTACCCTAGGTCAACATCAGACATCAATGGCTTATGTTATTGGGTATGGCGGTTGTAAAATATAACATTATGCCAAAGGAATGGGGAGATGAGTTTGATCATCCATTTCTGATGTTACCTGTATATGACATTGACATCCATTTCTCCCTCCCAGGTGTAAAGAGGGCAGTGGACCTCTGTGCTGCCCCAGGCAGCTGGAGCCAGGTCCTAAGCCGTAAACTCAGGTTCGTTTCAATCTCTTTCCTTCTCCTGGTAGCATAGTTGGCATCTATTAGTATGGGGTGTTAATGAATAGTGTACATAACACTAATGCTGTATATTTATCTGATGGTTTGACAGAGGAAAGGAGGAGAAGAGTGAGGAGGTAAAGATAGTGGCAGTGGACCTGCAGGCCATGGCTCCTCTCCCTGGGGTGACACAGATCCAGGGGGACATCACCAAGGTAACAGGGACATGTCTTTCCTGTCCCACAAGGACTTATCGAGACACTATTCTGGAACACTGAATTAGTTGCAGTATTGGCCTGATTCCAAACCTTTCAGAGAAGGAAGTGCAAGTCATCAAGGGCAGAGGAAAGGGGATAATAAGTGTTTGGTTTGGAATGTAGCCATTGTATGACAGATTTGGATCAGATTCTCAAACTAATTCAACAAAGCTGGTGGGTAAAATATCTGTTGCTTTTAGATCTCCACTGCCCAGGAGATAATCAGGCATTTTGAAGGACAGCCTGCAGACCTGGTAGTGTGTGATGGCGCCCCAGACGGTGAGTGTGAGAGTGTTCTCTGGTTTCAGTTTTGTTTGTGTCCTCTTGCATTTAGTTGCATACTCTTCTCTTAGTTGCCACTGTGGGGTTTGTTGTTTTGTCATTGCACTATATGCTTATGGCTCTTCCTCATTGGTCATTTTATGGCTTGTCTACATAGTGACGGGACTCCATGATGTGGATGAGTATATCCAGGCTCAGCTCCTATTGGCTGTAAGTATCACACTGCAACACTGTGTAATATTGAGTTGAATCCCACATGGCTGATCAGCTATCTTTTGTTGTTTATCCTTTATAATATGTTTCTAAATATCCCCTCTCAGGCCCTAAACATTACAACACACGTCCTGAAACCTGGAGGAACGTTTGTTGCAAAGGTAGGCTGTATGTTGGATGAGGACGTGTGGCGCAATTGGTTAGCGTGTTAGACTGTTAATCTAAAGGTTGGTGGTTCGAGCCCACCCAGGGTCGATATCTTCCCACTTCTAGTGATGTGGCAAGACCTTCTACAAGCATTTCGCTATACCCGCTATAACATCTGCTAAACACGTGTTTGTGACATAAGATTTGATTTGATTTGTTTGTATTCATTAGGGATCCCCAATAGTTCACTCTTCCTGGGATCCAAACACATTAAGGCACTTACATCACACATAAAACAAATGATACAATAGTACATAATATAACATTATTACACCACTACATATCTACAATACAAAATGAATAATGTCAACAATATTAAAATGTACGCGTGTGTTGATGTAACAAGTTCTGCACTTCTAACAAGTTCTGCACTTTGTTTTTTTAATTGTGGAGGGAAATTAGCTAAGTAGCCTATGTCATGTGAAAGTTATCTTATGCTTTGGTTCCTGTGTAGATATTCCGGGGGAAGGATGTGACCCTCCTGTACTCCCAGCTTAAGATCTTCTTCAGTGGTGTGACCTGTGCCAAGCCCCGGAGCAGCAGGAACTCCAGCATAGGTGAGCTGGAGACCACAGCTGACACAATGGTCACACACCAGATCATAGATGGTTTCCATTCAAATGCCTGGTTTTGACAGAAGGGTTAAAGGATTAAGTTGGTGAGGGGCTGCTTGAGACTTATATTTTTTTGTCTCTCTCACTTCTACAGAGGCATTTGTGATGTGTCAGAATTACTCTCCTCCAGAAGGATATGTGCCCAACATGTCCAATCCTCTGCTGGATCACTCATATGGTAACAACACAATACAACACAGTAATGCTTCTCATGTTCCTCATGTTTCAACTCCATATAATACTGTCATGTTATACACTGGTACTCAAGTTGGTTTCTGACTGTTTCAGATGTAGATTTTAACCAGCTAGAGGGACCAAACAGAATCATAGTTCCTTTCCTGGCCTGTGGGGACCTGAGTGCCTTTGACTCGGACCGGACCTACCCTCTCCAGGTACTGATATTCAGACACGTCTCTGCTGATACATGTATTGTAGACCAATGCTTTTCTTTAGTAGTCTCGAAGCTGTTACTCTATAGATAAGATGCTTCATATTAGGGCTGACCTCAATTAGTTGACAGTTCCATTGTTTGGTCGTTGGGCTGTTGGTTGACCGAGATTGTTTTAGTCGAGCAGTAACACACAAACACACGTATACAGGACCAGTCAAAAGTTTGGACACACCTACTCATTCAAGGGCTTTTCTTTATTTTTACTATTTTCTACATTGTAGAATAATAGTGAAGACATCAAAATGATGAAATAACACATGGATCATATAGTAGCCAAAAAAGTGTTAAACAAATCAAAATATTTTTTAGATTCTTCAAAGTAGCCACCCTTTGCCTTGATGACAGCTTTGCACACTCTTGGCATTCTCTCAACCAGCATCATGAGGAATACTTTTCCAACAGTCTTGAAGGAGTTCCCACATGCTGAGCACTTGTTGGCTGCTTTTCCTTCACTCTGCGTTCCAACTCATCTCAAACCATCTCAATTGGGTTGTCGTCGGGTGATTGTGGAGGCCAGGTCATCTGATGCAGCACTCCATCACTCTCCTTCTTGGTCAAATAGCCCTTACACAGCCTGTAGGTGTGTTTTGGGTCATTGTCCTGTTGAAAAACAAATGATAGTCCCACTAAGGGCAAGCGAGATGAGATGGCGTATCGCTGCAGAATGCTGTGGTAGCCATGCTGGTTAAGTGTGCCTTGAATTCTAAATAAATCAGACAGTGTCACCAGCAAAGCACCCCCACTCCATCACACCACCTCCTCCATGCTTTATGGTGGGAACCACACTTGCGGAAATCCGTTCACCTACTCTGTGTCTCACAAAGACACGGCAGTTGGAACCAAAAATCTCAAATTTGGATTTATCAGACCAACGGACAGATTTCCACCAGTCTAATGTCCATTGCTCATGTTTATGGGCCCAACCAAGTCTCTTCTTCTTATTGGTGTCCTTTAGTAGTGGTTTCTTTGCAGCAATTTGATCATGAAGACCTGATTCACACAGTCTCCTCTGAACAGTTGATGATGAGATGTGTCTGTTACTTGAACTCTGTGAAGCATTTATTTGGGCTGCAATCTGAGGTGCAGTTAACTCTAATGACCTTATCCTCTGCAGCAGAGGTAACTCATGGTTTTCCTTTCCTGTGGCGGTCCTCATGAGAGTCAGTTTCATCATAGTGCTTGATGGTTTTTGCGACTGCACTTGAAGAAACTTTCAAAGTTCTGGAAATGTTCTGGATTGACTGACCATGTCTTAAGGTAATGATGGACTGTCGTTTCTCTTTGCTTATTTGAGCTGTTCTTGCCATAATATGGACTTGGTCTTTTACCAAATATGGCTATCTTCTGTATACTACCCCTACCTTGTCACAACACAACTGATTGGCTCAAACGCATTTAGAAGGAAAGAAATGCCAAAAATGAACTTTTAACAAGGCACACCTGTTAATTGAAATGCATTCCAGGTGACTACCTCATGAAGCTGGTTGAGATAATCCCTGGAATGAGTAGGTGTGTCCAAACCTTTGACTGGTACTGTGTATATACAGTGCATTCAGAAAATATTTAGACCCCTTTACTTTCCCCACATTTTGTTACGTTACAGCCTTATTCTAAAATTGGTTCAATAAATATCAATCTACACACAATACCCCATGATGACAAATCGTAAGAACTCACAGACAACTTGTAAAAGCTCAAACCAAGTTTATTCACCCACTGGGTCAAACAGCTGCAAAGACATGTTTACACAATCACATATATTTATACCCTCTTTCTAGGAGGAGTCAACTCCTTGCACATCTAGATAGCCAATACATCTCTGTTGCTAGTCAGGAACTTAATTGGTACCTCTCACTGGTGTAGTCGTGGCCCCGCCTCCTGCTAGAACCTCCATGGGCATGTAATATATGTGTGTAACAGGACTGTTTCTTCTCACTTCATCTGACCTGACCTCGGGCCGAATTCCTCACTCCTCCCTAATCCTCAGCTCTCCTACCTTATCAGTGACTGAAACCAGACTGTTGCCCTTTGCCTCCCTCCATAGGATCCATGAGATTTAACAATAACATGTTTGACAGAATGTAAACTTCCTGCCCCCCCCCTTCTCACTCAGTAACCTTTCACATACACCCGTTCTTATCCGACCCACCATTGACCCCACCATACATTAATTAACATGTACAGTAATCAGAAGGTCTAGTATGGTAACATTAATACGTATATTCAACTAGAACCCAACAGTATGACAGTAGGGCGCAGGTAGCAGTGGGTAAGAGCGTTGGCAGTAACTGAAGTCGCTGTTTCTAATCCCGAGCGCTAGGTGAATGTGCCCTTAAGCAGCACTAACCTATGAAGCGCTCTGGTAGATCGTCTGCTAAATGACTAATCTAAAATGCCTGGCTTCTGCTCAGGCCATATTACCGTAAATGCTGCATGGTCAATGCAGACGTCGGATTGACCATGCACCCAGATGCACAATGCACTTCTCTCTCCAGAATGCGCGCTCTCCCGCCAATTTGTGCACATTCATTGTTTCATAACTTAATTGTGAGTTGTTTGATTTGTTAGTGTATATCAATTCCCCATTATATATATCACCAGTAGTACATTTACCATTAACTCCTATAATTTCTTATCTACAATGTTTGTTACTTTGGTTACGGTCATTTATTTTAATGCTTTCAATATTATTCCTGTCTTTCTGTTCTCATTGTTGGAGTGGACACATTGTTTGCTGAGTGCACAATCTATGCTACACTTATGAGAAACAAGTTTTGGTTTATTTAATTCCATTTATGAGTTCTGTCAATTTAATCATTGTCTTTTGTTTGGAGCTCTCCTGTCAATGTTGAGTAAGGACGCGCACGCATAGAAGTAGGCCTATAGGCTACCTGGCCTGCACACAAGTATTTCTGATTGGCTTAAAGCACCACCACTAATGACCTGTGGAGCTTCTCAAAGTAATGTTTTCTTCACCTCAAACAGCAAGCAAACAAAGTCTGTTTTTACATCCATTGAGAATGACTAGTTACTCAATGTATTTGAAAAACTCTTTCCAGCTCTCTCCCTTTCCATAACCACTCGGCGTGAATGGGAAAAATGTCATGCTCTGATCCAGTGGAAACGTCATAAAATAGGCTTCTTATCAATGCTTGACTTGGACTGAAATAGGTTCCGGTACTCATTTTGGGTGCTGGTACAGTTTATATTTAGGTGCAGGAGCTCCACAATACTTTTGAGCTAAAATTCTATTAGAGGAACAATAGCTCAAGCAGTAGAACATTTGAGGTGCCAGTACTCGGCTCCGGTGACTTCCTGTCTAAGTCAAGCACTGCTTCTTATCCCTTGCCCAAGCTCTTGTCCCAAGCTCAATGGCGCAGGAAACTAGATAACTAAAGGGCCAATAATCTTTTCGGGCAGGACCCAAGTTAATAGTTGATACAATGTTTCAAGTTCGTTGCAGACAGGCCAATTGTAGCCAATGTGATTTTTAGGATATTTATTTTTATCAGGATATTTTCTACCTGCAGGCTGCAATGTTTTTATTTGTTGGCTTTATATAGGCTATTTTTACATAGTTGGCAATAAAGTTTTAGATTTTTTATCATTTTCATTTGAATAGAATTTTGATTAACCAAATTACAATGATTTTGAGATACGAAGACGTTATTATAAATTAAATTAAACTTTCATGAAAATGTGCATATGAAAACCATAACTGCCACGCAGAGCGGTAGAAATTGTAAGATAAATTAGCATTCCTCATGAGAAAGGTTGCCGACTCCTCGTGTAGCCTATTACCAACAACTTCAGGAGAGGAATGGCAGAATCTGCGAAAGTCAGCAGGAGCTGGAGGAGAATAGTTGGGTTAGGTTAAGGTTTTTATCTCTTTTTTTGGTTACTAAATGATTCCATATGTGTTATTTCATAGTTCTGATGTCTTCACTATTATTCTACAATGTAGAAAATTGTAAAAATAAAGAAACCCTTGAATGAGTAGGTGTTCTAAAACTTTTGACCGTATGTTCAGTGAGGGGGAAAAAAGTATTTGATCCCCTGCTGATTTTGTACGTTTGCCCACTGACAAAGAAATGATCAGTCTAATTTTAACGGTAGGTTTATTTGAACAGTGAGAGACAGAATAACAACAACAAAATCCAGAAAAACGCATGTCAAAAATGTTATAAATTGATTTGCATTTTAATGAGGGAAATAAGTATTTGACCCCCTCTCAATCAGAAAGATTTCTGGCTCCCAGGTGTCTTTTATTCAGGTAATGAGCTGAGATTAGGAGCACACTCTTAAAGGGACTGCTCCTAATCTCAGCTTGTTACCTGTATAAAAGACACCTGTCCACAGAAGCAATCAATCAATCAGATTCCAAACTCTCCACCATGGCCAAGACCAAAGAGCTCTCCAAGGATGTCAGGGACAAGATTGTAGACCTACACAAGGCTGGAATGGGCGACAAGACCATCGCCAAGCAGCTTGGTGAGAAGGTGACAACAGTTGGTGCGATTATTCGCAAATGGAAGAAACACAAAAGAACTGTCAATCTCCCTCGGCCTGGGGCTCCATGCAAGATCTCACCTCGTGGAGTTGCAATGATCATGAGAACGGTGAGGAATCAACCCAGAACTACACGGGAGGATCTTGTCAATGATCTCAAGGCAGCTGCGACCATAGTCACCAAGAAAACAATTGGTAACACACTATGCCGTGAAGGACTGAAATCCTTCAGCGCCTGCAAGGTCCCCCTGCTCAAGAAGGCATATATACAGGGCCGTCTGAAGTTTGCCAATGAACATCTGAATGATTCAGAGGAGAACTGGGTGAAAGTGTTGTGGCCAAAGAGCTCCATTTTGGTCTCATCTGACATCAACTCAACTCGCCGTGTTTGGAGGAGGAGGAATGCTGCCTATGACCCCAAGAACACCATCCCCACCGTCAAACATGGAGGTGGAAACATTATGCTTTGAGGGTGTTTTTCTGCTAAGGGGACAGGACAACTTCACCGCATCAAAGGGACGATGGACGGGGCCATGTACTGTCAAATCTTGGGTGAGAACCTCCTTCCCTCAGCCAGGGCATTGAAAATGGGTCGTGGATGGGTATTCCAGCATGACAATGACCCATAACACACGGCCAAGGCAACAAAGGAGTGGCTCAAGAAGAAGCACATTAAGGTCCTGGAGTGGCCTTGCCAGTCTCCAGACCTTAATCCCATAGAAAATCTATGGAGGGAGCTGAAGGTTCGAGTTGCCAAACATCAGCCTCGAAACCTTAATGACTTGGAGAAGATCTGCAAAGAGGAGTGGGACAAAATCCCTCCTGAGATGTGTGCACACCTGGTGGCCAACTACAAGAAACATCTGACCTCTGTGATTGCCAACAAGGGTTTTGCCACCAAGTACTAAGTCATGTTTTGCAGAGGGGTCAAATACTTATTTCCCTCATTAAAATGTAAATCAATTTATAACATTTTTGACATGCGTTTTTCTGGATTTTTTTGTTGTTATTCTGTCTCTCACTGTTCAAATAAACATACCATTAAAATTATAGACTGATCATGTCTTTGTCAGTGGGCAAACATACAAAATCAGCAGGGGATCAAATACTTTTTTCCCTCACTGTATGTACGGTGGGTGGAAAAAAGTATTTAGTCAGCCACCAATTGTGCAAGTTCTCCCACTTAAAGATGAGAGAGGCCTGTAATTTTCATCATAGGTACACATCAACTATGACAGACAAAACGAGAAAAGAAAATCCAGAAAATCACATTGTAGGATTTTTTTATGAATTTATTTGAAAATTATTTTGGAAAATAAGTATTTGGTCACCTACAAACAAGCAAGATTTCTGGCTCTCACAGACCTGTAACTTCTTCTTTAAGAGGCTCCTCTGTCCTCCACTCGTTACCTGTATTAATGGCACCTGTTTGAACTGGTTATCAGTATAAAAGACACCTGTCCACAACCTCAAACAGTCACACTCCAAACTCCACTATGGCCAAGACCAAAGAGCTGTCAAAGGACACCAGAAACAAAATTGTAGACCTGCACCAGGCTGGGAAGACTGAATCTGCAATAGGTAAGCAGCTTGGTTTGAAGAAATCAACTGTGGGAGCAATTATTAGGAAATGGAAGACATACAAGACCACTGATAATCTCCCTCGATCTGGGGCTCCACGCAAGATCTCACCCCGTGGGGTCAAAATGATCACAAGAACGGTGAGCAAAAATCCCAGAACCACACGGGGGGACCTAGTGAATGACCTGCAGAGAGCTGGGACCAAAGTAACAAAGCCTACCATCAGTAACACACTACGCCACCAGGGACTCAAATCCTGCAGTGCCAGACGTGTCCCCCTGCTTAAGCCAGTACATGTCCAGGCCCGTTTACTAGAGTGCATTTGGATGATCCAGAAGAGGATTGGGAGAATGTCATATGGTCAGATGAAACCAAAATATAACTTTTTAGTAAAAACTCAACTCGTCGTGTTTGGAGGACAAAGAATGCTGAGTTGCATCCAAAGAACACCATACCTACTGTGAAGCATGGGGGTGGAAACATCATGCTTTGGGGGCTGTTTTTCTGCAAAGGGACCAGGACGACTGATTTGTGTAAAGGAAAGAATGAATGGGGCCAGGTATCATGAGATTTTGAGTGAAAACCTCCTTCCATCAGCAAGGGCATTGAAGATGAAACGTGGCTGGGTCTTTCAGCATGACAATGATCCCAAACACACCGCCCGGGCAACGAAGGAGTGGCTTCGTAAGAAGCATTTCAAGGTCCTGGAGTGGCCTAGCCAGTCTCCAGATCTCAACCCCATAGAAAATCTTTGGAGGGAGTTGAAAGTCCGTGTTGCCCAGCGACAGCCCCAAAACATCACTGCTCTAGAGGAGATCTGCATGGAGGAATGGGCCAAAATACCAGCAACAGTGTGTGAAGACTTACAGAAAACGTTTGACCTGTGTCATTGCCAACAAAGGGTATATAACAACGTATTGAGAAACTTTTGTTATTGACCAAATACTCATTTTCCACCATAATTTGAAAATAAATTCATTAAAAATCCTACAATGTGATTTTCTGGAAATTTTTTTCTCATTTTGTCTGTCATAGTTGACATGTACCTATGATGAAAATTACAGGCCTCTCTCATCTTTTTAAGTGGGAGAACTTGCACAATTGGTGGCTGACTAAATACTTTTTTTCCCCACTGTATGTAAAAATACAAGTAAATTTTTTTTGAGCAATCGATTAATCGAAAGAACAGACGACTTTCGGTCAACCCCCCCAAAAAATTGGTGGGGGCAGCCTTACTTCATATGAAACTTTTGTGCTGTGCTCATTAAACTTTAATTTTATTTTTCTTCATAGTTGGATGCCAGTAAGGAATACCAGTACACGCCCCCCACCCAGCCCCCCATTCGCCCACCCTACCAGCAGGCCTGTCATCTACGCAAGAACAACCTATTGGCCAAGGAGGACTCCCCCTCTCTTCCATTGGATGAAGCCCTTTCAAATATGGACATTTCAACCAGTCAGGAAGAGTCATAGTGTGTTCAGTTTATTAAACGTTTTGCTACGTTGTGTGAAGGTTTGTACTGAATTACCCAGAACGGAGTGCACAGTGCTTCAACAGTCTTTTGAGGTATGTTTGTTCCCATTTGGTGTGTGGGTTGGCGCCTGATCAATATGGGATGACCATTTGTAATCGCAAAACTCATGCAGCACACCATACACAATCGCCCTCTGGGCCACCATAATCACCACATTCTTCATCTGGTCATTCAGAACAGCACCGTGTCCGTTGAACACTGAGTCCTCCTGAACGCGGCCGTAGATGTCTTCCCCAACAGAGAGAACTGACATTTCATAGAGCAGAAAGAAAGAGGATATTTGGTTCAGAAAAGCCTTGACTGCATAAAGACTGTGTATAGATGATCAAGGAAACAGAATACTTTTTTTGAATTATGAATTTTGCCACATGTTTTACCAATCAATAGTCATAATATTGTACCGTTATTGTTTTTTCATCTAAAATGAATAAAATTTACTTGAGCACTCCAATGTGTTTCTGTTCTGTGATCTGCTTTCCAATGGCCAGTCACATATCCTGGTTCAAAAAGCACTTTCTGCTCCCTAGTCTTTGGCTACACATTGAGATATGAATGAAGAAATAGGGACAACACATGGGTTCATGGTATTGCAGAGTAACAACGTAAATCTCAAGAATCTGTGATTGGTAGGCCTACCAGCAATGTCCCCTCTAAGCTGCGCCCCTCCTCCAGGACAGCCACGCAGAAGAAATGCCATGCAGCGCAGAGACGCAAGAGATGGAACTTCACTGAGGTCGCCCCATTAGTTTATACTATCCTGTGATCGAATCAATATTATATCAGCCCCTTTTCAATGCAACAAAACAAATTAAATTTGCAAGATTGAGGCTGTGCAAGATTTGATATTCTTAGCTAGTTAGTGAGTTATTAGCCCAGTTATAGATAAGTATAGGTCAGCAATGGGGAGTTCCTGCTTCCTACAACAGCACAAAACGCATAGGCTACATTTCAAGCTGCCTTTGAAAAACCAGTCAGGTAAAAAGCTTATGATTTAATTAAAGGGGCAGTGTTGTATTTTTAGACAGGCTTGAATATTCAAATAAGCCAATAGGCAGAGGGGTAGACTACATTGTCTAATTCTCTATAGTTATAATAATTAATTGTATTTTGTAAAGTGGTTTCTTGCATCATACAATACAATTGACAGCAATCTATTTGGCCCAGGGTGTTATAGACCAATTAAAAAATCATGAATTAATGTCAAGCCCTTCATAATGTAAAAACATTTTTAAAAGTAATGCAATGTAGGCCTGCATTGAACACCACATATTACCTACAGTAGGCTACATCATATACAGTTGAAGTCCAAAGTTTACATACACCTTAGCCAAATACATTTAAACTCAGTTTTTCACAATTCCTGACATTTAATCCTGTCTTAGGTCAGTTAGGATCACAACTTTATTTTAAGAATGTGAAATGTCAGAATAATAGTAGAGAGAATGATTTATTTCAGCTTTTATTTATTTCATCACATTCCCAGTAGGTCAGAAGTTTACATACACTCAATTAGTATTTGGTAGCATTGCTTTTAAATTGCCTAACTTGGGTCAAACATTTCGGGTAGCCTTCCACAAGCTTCCCACAATAAGTTGGGTGAATTTTGGCCCATTCCTCCTGACAGAGCTGGTGTAACTGAGTCAGGTTTGTAGGCCTCCTTGCTCGCACACACTTTTTCAGTTCTGCCCACAAATGTTCTATAGGATTGAGGTCAGGGCTTTGTGATGGCCACTCCAATACCTTGACTTTGTTGTCCTTAAGCCATTTTGCCACAACTTTGGAAGTATGCTTGGGGTCATTGTCCATTTGGAAGACCCATTTGCGACCAAGCTTTAACTTCCTGACTGATGTCTTGAGATGTTGCTTCAATATATCCACATAATTTTCCTTCCTCATGATGCCATCTATTTTGTGAAGTGCACCAGTCCCTCCTGCAGCAAAGCACCCCAACAGCATGATGCTGCCACCCCTGTGCTTCACAGTTGGGATGGTGTTCTTCGGCTTGCAAGCCACCCCCTTTTTCATCCAAACATAACGATGGTCATTATGGCCAAACAGTTCTATTTTTGTTTAATCAGACCAGAGGACATTTCTCCAAAAAGTACGATCTTTGTCCCCATGTGCAAACCGTAGTCTGGCTTTTTTATGGCGGTTTTGGAGCAGTGGCTTCTTCCTTGCTAAGCGGCCTTTCAGGTTATGTCGATATAGGACTCGTTTTACTGTGGATATAGATACTTTTGTACCTGTTTCCTCCAGCATCATCACAAGGTCCTTTGCTGTTGTTCTGGGATTGATTTGCACTTTTCGCACCAAAGTACGTTCATCTCTAGGAGACAGAACGCGTCTCCTTCCTGAGCGGTATGATGGCTGCGTGGTCCCATGGTGTTTATACTTACGTACTATTGTTTGTACAGATGAACATGGTACCTTCAGGTGTTTTGAAATTGCTCCCAAGGATGAACCAAACTTGTGGAGGTCTACCATTTTTTTTCTGAGGTCTTGGCTGATTTCCTTTGATTTTCCCATGATGTCAAGCAAAGAGGCACTGAGTTTGAAGGTAGGCCTTGAAATACATCCACAGATACACCTCCAATTGAGGAGGTGCCATGCTCTACCATCTGAGCCACACAGGACACTTGTAGCTCAGCATCAACTAGCTTGTATTTCATGTTGCTATTCAGGTCAGCACATAAGGGACCACACTAGGGTTACTGATCATTCACACACATCTAATTCCAGAGACGAGAACACAAGTCTAGACCAACCACAACCAAAGGGCTTTGAATATGTATAGAGGTGGAAGGTTAAAGTATGGTACTGTGGTCATAAGCTAGGGCTAGATGAGCCACAAGTGTCAGAAGCCAGACTAGTGGGTCTCCCCACACATGAACCTTATACATCAGTCTCTCAAAAACATTGCATTAGAGTATACATGTGAATTTTTTTTGTCATGGAAGTGTGCTACTACCTTTGTTCAAGAAAGTAAGGCTGTAGGTTTTCGTGTAGTTTAAAATGTTTGCCAAACATGCCAAACAACGTATACCTTAAAGACCAACCCCAGTCTCCTTTTCACCTCATTTATCACCTGATTTACTTAACAAAAGGCACATCTCAATAGGTGGTCCAGGTATGACATGGCACACATGGGGGGTGGACCTTTCCTTTTGTCCTCTACTGCTCCTCTATTGTTCCTGCAAGACCATCAGACCAACTCCTTGAATGGTCTACATTTACATCATTTAGCAGACACTCTTATCCAGAGCGACTTACAGTTAGTGCATACATTATTTTTTTATTTTTTTTATACCCCCCGTGGTAATCGAACCCACAACCCTGGCGTTGCAAACGCCATGCTCTACAAACTGAGCTACATCCCCTGCCGGCCATTCCCTCCCCTACCCTAGACGATGCTGGGCCAATTGTGCGCCACCCCATGGGTCTCCCGGTCGCGGCCGGCTACGACAGAGCCTGGATTCGAACCAGGATCTCTAGTGGCACAGCTAGGACTGCGATGCTGTGCCTTAGACCACTGCGCCACTCGGGAGACTATTCACTCGGGAGTCTACACCTTGAAGTTTGCAGTTGTTTCTAAAAAACACTATTTTGCTCAAACCATTTTTTTAACCCTTTACCCTACATTAATGTATTTATACTTGGGTTATTGTTTTTCAACAGGAACAGTTAAAAAATAGCTGGAGTGCGTCTTTAAACTGTCCAAAGCAGTTGGCAATACATTGTTTAAGGGATATTAGCCGATGTCAAAATTGTTGAATCTTCACAGAAACTGTAACAACTCTCTGGTTTGTCATATTTGGCAATATTTCCAGCAAGTTCAATTAAGGGTGCAGTAGCCTATTCGTACTTTCTAAAGCGTCATTTGTAACCTGGCCAGTTTCCATATCCGCCTCTCTAGGTTGTTCTGCCTCCTAAACATAGGCTGCCAGTTTTTTTCACTTCATTATCGAAGTGTGATCAGTCCTTCATTAACATCAAAACGTTTCAAGGATGTCTCCATCTTACTTTCTCTTCATTTGTGAGTGTTCAATTATCTATTATTGTAATAATATTAATTAATTGTAACAAATTAATTAATTTAGGTTTAACATGTAGGACTTCACATAAAAGCCGTGTTTAAAAATGTTTTGCCATGTTTAAAGGTATGGCTGCTGTTGCAGTTAAAGAAGGTTGTGCTGGTATGTAATGTATTACTGTAATCTATTACCACATAAGAATATTTCCTGAATCATTCTATTTCTAACAATTAAAATGTGTGTTCTCACAGTTTCTCTCTTTAACTCTAAACAGATTCTGTCCCAACTCCCACCATTTTGCTCGACCCTGGGTACATCGATGTAGCTATGCCTGTTGTAGTACGCTGTGAGTCAACAGAAGGCACAAAGTGCCACTTCTACAAAGACCACGACCCCAACCCTATAAGAACAGTGAATTCCGGTGTTTGCCAATTCATATTGTTCTGGAATGAGTTCAAAAAGTGGAACAAGACTGAAGTAGATCTCAGCTGTGCTATTCTAAATAAGAAAATAATCTCAAAACTTAGTGACGTTCGAAAACTTCATGTAAGTGGTAAGTGACAATTTTATTACCAGGCTCTCGATTGGCGCAGCAGTCTAAGGCACTGCATCTCAGTGCTTGAGGTGTCGTTACAGACCCTAGTTCAATTCCAGGCTGTATCACAATCCGGCTGTGATTGGGAGTCCCATAGGGCTGTGTACAATTGGCCCAGCATTGGCCGTGGTAGGCTGTCATTGTAAAAAAGAACTTGTTCTTAACTGACTTGCCTAGTTAAATAAATGTGAAAAACATTTGATTGATTGACAAACCTTTTTTTTCTTCTAATGTACAAACAGATTCCATGAAAATACCCAGGATTTTTGTGGAAAATACAGGAACTTACTTAATTCTTCGGTGTGAGGCCAAGCATGCTGGTACATCATGCTACTATTACCTGGACAACAGTGACTCCCCCTTTAAAAAGCAGCCCTACAAAGACAATGTATGTGTGGGGAAAGTGGCGGAAAAGGAACTGCTGAGGAAGAGGAGCAGTGCCGGAGAGCTCTTCATCACCTGTGCTGTGGAGCTGGTAATGGAGGGTGAAGATACTGTGAAATCACAGCATAGTGAACCCTTCAAGATCACCATAGATCGTGAGGACATCAATTAAATTATTGTGCAGTCTAACATGACAATCATCTGTCTGTATTGCAATACTGATGAATATGTCATATTCTTCCTCCAATTATAGACTCTCCTGGGTCCACCACTTCCTCATCAACATTCAGTACCAACAAAAGCAATGTAACTAAAGGAGAAGGTGTGTAACCTTAACATGTTTTTAAACTTACTGTTGATAGACCCACCCACCTAAAAGCATTTCAAGATAACATTGACTGATTATGTTGCTAATGTGCTGTACTGTTATCTTTAATATGGTAATATATGATTAATCTAATACAACAAACAATTTCAACTTGATTTGAAAGTCATCTCCCCCTTTAGAGTCCTCCTCAGAGTTCCCCCTCTACATCAGTCTGAGTGTTGGGGCCTTTTGCCTTATTCTACTGGTTGTATCTGTCCTGTGTTTTCTCCGGTACAAGCGAGGTACATGCATTCAAATACTGATACTTCAAGGCTTAATTTGTTCTAATGTACATTTTGAGTTATTTGTGTATTATACATGTAAAATCAGGGCTGGTTTAATCTATTATAATTTCCTATTTATTTCTGAAGGTGATCAACAAGACTGGTCTGCCAATAGGTAAGTGAGGGGTCTATTTGTATTATAATTACATTATATTTTTCTTCCTACACATCATTATACAGTTCCATGTCTAAATGTACTGGGTAAATTGTCTCAACAGATCCCAATGGAACCAGAACAAAGAAGTTATCTGTGAGTATGAAAGGAAACTAAAACATATGCCCACTACAGCATATTAATTTCTCAGAAACTTGATTATATTCAGTACTCTACATTTCACCTTTCTCTCATTTAAAACAGATGCAAATGCTTAATCATTTCAACAAGGTGGTCTGAATGTGGGGATGCTGTGTGGTGCTAGTTCAAGTGTACTTCCACCTGTTGATGAACTTCCTCCACATCCTTTCTCTGCTTCCTGATTTACATATCTAACACTCTCTGCTCTTCCTGTAGCCTGACAACATTTGTTCCTCTCAGATGAATGGTGTAATATCTAACTGGGCAAGAAATAGATGTGCAAAGGGTTTAAGATATGATCCATTTGAAGTTTCACATTGTTTAAAAAAAAAGAAGGGTAAATACATGTGTTATTTTATTACCTTGTTTAAAAAAAAAACTATCTTGTTATTTTATTACTATTTTTTATCTACTTTGTATATTGATAGTTTTGCTACCTTTCATTTACTCTGCACAGTTGAGGAAGAGTGGAAAGTTAGCATTTCACTGTGCCATTACACCTGCTGTATTCTGTGCATGTGACAAATAAACATTGATTTGATTTGATTGTGTAGATTTGTTTTAACATATCGGTATACAATTGTCCTATTCTGTGCAATTTTTAATATGTAATTATGTTTTTGAATAAATGAAATACACGTATTGTATTACAGCATTCCCATTTTATGCTGCCATTTGTGGTTCTGTTTTCCTAAGGAAATACAGGTTAGATCATTTCAGCTCTCAGGCAGTTGAGGGGCATTTTCTCCCCATCCTGGATTATGTTGATATGGAGGAAGAAATAGCTACAATCACAAGGGATCACTGTTTTACTGAGTCCTTGGATGGTTGGTACCACTTTTACCCAGTAGATGGGGTTAAAAGATTGTGTGAGTTAGAGAAACAACAGAGGTTAGGAATGGAGAAGGGTGATCGTAGAGATAGGGGTGTACTCTAACCACTAGTTTGTGGTGACACAGTGTGATGTGAAACACAGTAACTAAACTGGCTGATGTCTCTTGATGCCTGAGTGTTTGTGCTTCTGTTTGTCAAGTAGAAGTGACCACAGGGGGGTGTACTGATCGTTCACACACACTCGTGTATTTCCAGAGACGAGACACAAACAAAGCAGCATAAACAGTTTTTGGGTTAACCACAATTAAGCTCAAAAGGCTTTCAACACGTCTCATATGAAGCTCAGGTAGTTATCAATAGAAACGACTTCTCACAAAACATTGTCTGCATGATAATTTCTTGTAGAGGTGGACAGTGCCTTCAGAAAGTATTCATACCCCTTGACTTATTCCACATTTTGTTTTGTTACAGCCTGAAATCAAAATGGATTAATTTGATTTTTCCCCTCACCCATCTACACACAATACCCCATAATGACAAAGTGAAAACACGTTTTTAGAAATGTTAGCAAATTTACTGAAAATGAAATACAGAAATATCTCATTTACATAAGTATTCACACCCCTGTCAATACTTTGGAGAAGCACCTTTGGCGGCAATTACATCTTTTAGTCGTCTTGCGTAATTCTGTATCAGCTTTGTACATCTGGATTTGGGGATTTTCTCCCATTCTTCCTTGCAGGTTTTCTCAAGCTCTGTTAAGTTAGATGGGGAGCGGCGATGAATGAAGGTTATGGTTATGTGAGCTATTGGATCATTCCAATATGGTATCCTTCCGCGCAGCAGGATACATTCCGGGTAAGGATTTCAGATTAGTCCTGTGTACCGGGTAGTGCTGCGGCTGACCCCTTTAAATAGCTGCCGTCGCACTAATTTCACATTGTGTCTTTTTCGAGGCACCGTAGATCACCGACAAAAAGGATTGGAGTGATCCAATAGCTCACATAACTAATAGTTACATACGTAACCTTCGTTATGTAGCACTATATTGGATCACTCTAATATGGTATCACAATACCTCTTAGTGGAGGAAATAGCCAACAGGAATGCCACATTCATGGATAGGTGCTGCAAAGACACTAACCCCAGTGGTTCGAAGGGTGGCTTAGCAAGTGCTAACAGCACCATGTCAAGGTCCCAGCTTGGCACCAAACGGGCCTTCGCTGGACGCAGACGTCGAACTCCCTTCATAAACTTGGAGAGCAATGGGTGGCCACCCATGGGTCCCTCCGGGCCATCATCATGGCACGCCGAGATTGCGGCTAAATACACTCTCAAAGTGGACTCCGCTCAGCCCGCATCAAGCTGTGATTGTAAAAATCGTTTAACTGTTTGTACATCACACGACTCGGGGGCAACATTATGATCCTCAAACCAAGTACAGAATATGTCCCACCGCATTTAATATGACACGTTGGTGGAGGAAGCCCTGATGTTCTGCAACGTGTTCACCACATTGTCATGAATGCCTAGACTGGCCCATTTACGCCTCTCAGAGGCCAAGCCCAACGCTGGAGGCGGAGCGGGTCCGGATGCCACAGTGTCCCTCCCCCAAGCCTGAGAGAGCAGGTCGGGCCTCAGCGGTAGCTGTAATGGGGTCCCCGAGAGGAGGGACAACAGGAGGCTGAACCATGGTCGTCTCGGCAAGTATGGGGCTATGAGGAGCAGCAGGTGGCCCATCAAGCTGACCCTGTCTAGCATAGCTGTGATCAGGGGAAATGATGGGAATGCATAAAGTGTCGTAGCCGGCCAATCGTGAGCGAGGGCGTCCAGACCCAGAGGGCCTGGAAGGTCTGACAACTAGAATCAGCTGGGGCAATAAGTATTCTTCTGAGATGCAAACAGGTCCACCTGTGCTCTCCCAAACCTGTCTACTGCTTGCAGTGATGCTATGCGGGTCTGAGCCTACAGCAAGAGCTCCCAATCCATGTCGTGGAGGTGCCGTGATCTCAGACCCCCCTGGTGATTGTTATATGCCACTACCATGGTGTTGTCTGATCTGACCAGGAGTGGACATGCTTCCCCTCCATGTAGGGAAGGAACTGCTGGAGGGCCAGCACATTGATGTGCTGGCCACTCCATAGGGGGCTCCAGCGTCCGCTTGCCGTCATGCCTCTGAACACTGCCCCCCAGACCGCTAGTGAAGCATCGGTGCACACTATCTCCCTGCGGTGGACTCTGTTCAATGTCACTCCCTCCGACAGGAAGGAGTGGGAGTGCCACTTCAACAGAGTCCTTACACATGCATTTGTCACTGACAGCTGACAATGTAGATGGTGAGAGTTGAACCATCGCTGGAGTGACCTGAGGTGAAGAAGGCCCAGCGGAATTAACAGAGCAGCCGAAGTGAGTAGGCCAAGTAACTTCTGGCACACACAGACAGGGCTTGTCCAAGCCGGAAAAGGTCGAGGTACAGTGGGGAGAACAAGTATTTGATACACTGCCGATTTTGCAGGTTTTCCTACTTACAAAGCATGTAGAGGTCTGTAATTTTTATCATAGGTACACTTCAACTGTGAGAGGCGGAATATAAAACAAAAATCCAGAAAATCACATTGTATGATTTTTAAGTAATTCATTTGCATTTTATTGCATGACATAAGTATTTGATCACCTACCAACCAGTAAGAATTCCGGCTCTCACAGACCTGTTAGTTTTTCTTTAAGAAGCCCTCCTGTTCTCCACTCATTACCTGTATTAACTACACCTGTTTGAACTCGTTACCTGTATAAAAGACACCTGTCCACACACTCAATCAAACAGACTCCAACCTCTCCACAATGGCCAAGACCAGAGAGCTGTGTAAGGACATCAGGGATAAAATTGTAGACCTGCACAAGGCTGGGATGGGCTACAGGACAATAGGCAAGCAGCTTGGTGAGAAGGCAACAACTGTTGGCGCAATTATTAGAAAATGGAAGAAGTTCAAGATGACGGTCAATCACCCTCGGTCTGGGGCTCCATGCAAGATCTCACCTCGTGGGGCATCAATGATCATGAGGAAGGTGAGGGATCAGCCCAGAACTACACGGCAGGACCTGGTCAATGACCTGAAGAGAGCTGGGACCACAGTCTCAAAGAAAACCATTAGTAACACACTACGCCGTCATGGATTAAAATCCTGCAGCGCACGCAAGGTCCCCCTGCTCAAGCCAGCGCATGTCCAGGCCCGTCTGAAGTTTGCCAATGACCATCTGGATGATCCAGAGGAGGAATGGGAGGTCATGTGGTCTGATGAGACAAAAATAGAGCTTTTTGGTCTAAACTCCACTCGCCGTGTTTGGAGGAAGAAGAAGGATGAGTACAACCCCAAGAACACCATCCCAACCGT